CATTTGACAGAATATCTGAGATATTAAAATTGAAGGTCCAAATTGATATACTATTACACTTATTTAAAATGGTGAATTTCTTCTCTTAGCTGTACTAGTAAAAGATTCATTTTCACTGAAAAGGCATATAAAACTTAAGATTTATTATTAAATTTTACATCTAGAAAGGTTTTATGAGAAGGACTCAAGATTTAATATTGTTTAATATTTATAATCATGGTTAACCATTTACCAAAAGGACCAATGTTATAAATAAATTCACTTTTAAGGTAGAATTGTATTTATAGTAATGATCCCCTACGTTAAGGTGCTTTGATTATTCTTTGATGGGAGTGTTAACTGATACAACCTATTTTCAGAAACAATTTGGCTCTAAACTGTAAAGTTGAACATTTTCCTTCTCTACTATCCAGCATTCTGTATATACCCTACAGAAATTTTTGCATATGTGTACCAAGAAATAGCACAAAAAGAATTCATAGAATCATTGCTCATAATATAAAAAAACTAGAAGCTCAAATGCCAATAGAAGGAAGATGACACATTAATTATAGAAGTTACAGAATGGGATATTACGTAGCAGTGAAAACAACTGAACTACAGCTATATGAAACAACAGGGAAGGATCTAGATATAAATAGAGTTAAAAACACCAGAGGACTATGTATACAGTACCAGAGGGGTGTATATTGTAAGATACCATTTTTATAAAGCTCAAAACTAAGCCAAACCATTGAAAAACTGATAGTTATTTTTTAATAAAGGCAAGAGGATGATAAAACTCAACATTCCGGATTGTGGTTACCTGTGGATAGGCAAGGAAGTAGGATAGAGAAAGAACTCCTAGGCTAGTACAAACATAATGGTCACAGTTCAGTTTTTAGATTGGGTGGTGGGTTCACTGGGGGTAATATTCATGGTTGTTGTGCTTCACAATACTGACATGCACTTTCATACGTACAGTTTAAAAGGTTATACATATACAAGAGTATATTTATGGAATCTTAAAGAAAAATACTACTTAATGTCCAGAAAATATTTGTATGCAGATGGCAAGTATAATTTAAGAATACAACTCAAAGTGATAACCGGGAATTTAAAAAATGTGCAGAGAATTTCTTTATTTATAAAAGGTTTATTAAAGTTTATTTCCAGGATTTTGTTTTCATCACATTCATCATTCAGAGGCTTGGCTAATAAGTCACTTTATATTTGATCCTTATAACTTTCTAAAAAGTGAAAAAACAAAAAAAGTAATGAGCACATACAGAATAGATATATTGGTTATCGAACTTTTTAAAAAAGTCTTAAACCTAATAGCTATAACTTTGAAAGTTTTTTTCCTGAGAATATATTATTTTTAAAAAGTGGTATTTTATGTTCTTTATATATTTACAAGGCCCACATAAGCACAGTAGAATATGGTAATTACCTGGGAACTATTTTATCACAGTTGTATCTCATGAAAACCTAGGATTGCAATCAGCTCTGTTCATTACCACGTCACTTGTGACGCTATAGTATTTGCATAACGTACATTCTATGTTACCTCTTTCTTTCCAGTGAAATCAGACATTATTTTACTTCAGAAACAGATTTGTTTCTCTATAAGAAATGCTTGTGGCATAGTGGTTAAGCACTATGGCTGCTAATCAAAAGGTTGGTAGTTTGAATCCACCTAGGTGCTCCTTGGAAACTCTATGGGGCAGTTCTACCCTGTCCTATAGGGTCTCTATGAGTCAGACTCGACGACAACGGGTTTAGTTTTTGTTTTTGCTCTACAAGTATTACTAATACTTGTTCCAAGGGCTAAAATCAGAATTGTGGGATAAGAATTTGTATATTCTTTTTGAGACTTCTCTAACAGAGATCTACTGAAATGTTCCTGTGGTTGTTGTTAGGTGCCATCGAGTTGATTTTTCGGCTCATATCAATCCCATGTGACAGAGTACAACTGCCCCATAGGGTTTCCTAGGCTGCAATCTTTAAGGAAGCAGATCGCCAGATTTTTCTTCCATGGAGCCTCTGGGTGGGTGAGAACTGCCAACCTTTCGGTTAGCAGCAAAGTGCTTAACCATTGTGCCACCAGGGGCTCCTGTGAAATGTTTCTAGGAAGTATAAAAATTAGCGTGATCTTCTCAGAATCTTTCGGCAATCAACAAAAGTTAAGAGTTCTGAACTAGCAGTCAGAAGAATTTTCAACCTCTTACTTGCTGAATTGTGATATTCATTTAATATCTTGTGCCTCACTTTCCTTATATTTATAAACAGAAAGAACAGCTCCTCTATCTTTCTCACAGGAGTCCCTGGGTAGCACAAATTGTTAAGTGCTAGACTACTAAACAAAAGGTTGGTGGTTCAAAGGCACCCAGAGGCACCTTGGAAGAAAGGCCTGGTGACCTGCTTCTGAAAGGTCACAGCCTCGAAAACCCTACGGAGCAGTTCTATTCTGCAGCACATGGGGTCATCATGAGTTGGAATCGATTTGATGGCAACTCTTTTGTTTTGTTTTGTTTTTGGTATCTTCCTCACAGGATTGTTATGAGAACGAAAATACAATTTCAAGAGTATGCAAATGTTTGTCACTAGGGGAAGATCTTCATTCTTTCTCTAGTATAATATTAAAATTAATGGTAGACAATAACAAAAAGGTTATTTAGACCTTTTTTGAAACTACTATGTAAACTACATGAATTTCCTAATTGGAAATGCCTACAGAGTCTGCTTGAAAAATAATTTGATTGATTTTTCACAGATGAACTACTTAGATGTAAATGTCAAAGCACGTCTTCACAGAGTCTGCAGGATATTTAGAGTTATTAGAAAGTCAAGCCCTCCTTTTGTTATTTAATCTTCAGAGAGACCAGTATGGTTCTCCCTATTCTTTATTTAGATATGGGGGAAACAGAAATCATGCCTCTCATGAACGTCTGTTCTGCTGTCATCAATGCACTACTCTTGTGGACAAGCTGGATGGGCCTCTGGGTTTGGAATTTTACTTCTCCTCCAGGTTCTACTTTAAATTGTGGTACTGGACTCTGCATCAACTTATCAGCAAGTTGGCCTTGCCACAGAAAAACAGTTTCATGGGCAGAGAGACTGATAATGTATTAAAAAACCATTTGCTAGTTTACAGTAAGAAATCTTATAAACTCATCTTCATAATAATACTAATGCATTACCTTTGCTTTATAGTTCCAAAAGGCTTTTGTGTTCATTATCTCATATGGGAACCTCCTGGTTCACGACTATTGAACAAAATGACCTAACTTATTTCTAAACTGTTTATTTTCTTTATAAGGTGGAAAATACTGAAAAGTGCGAAGCAGAACAGGAGACCATATCCTAGATGTAAAAAATAACACGCTGTTAACAGTTCTGCATATTTTCTTCCTGCTTTTTCTGTGTATGTTTATATAGTTGAGATCAGATTGTATCTGCCATTTAAGTGCTGAAGTTTTATTTATTTTTGGGTTATGACAGAAATCCATACCTTTTGCAGAAATTTTGGAAAAGCTGTAGAACAGACAAAACTGTAAACCGAAAAATAAAAACATGTAACTTAACTATTGTAGTTAACCACCACACACATTTTGGTGTATTTCCTTCCAGTATTTTACTCTTTTTTTTCTAGAACGTAATTGAGATCATACCAAGGCAAAAGTGCTGATCAGCACTCTTCTTCCTGGAGAGGGGTGGTGGTGGTTGTGCCGCCATCGTAGATTCCGAATCATAGCGACCCTATATGACAGAGCAGAAGTTAATGTTTTCCTTTAAAGCTCGTTTGTTCAATATTCTGAGTAGATACTGTTCTTTTCTTGTACCAGCTTGGAACACCTTCAAGGCCCACCGACATTCGCCCACAATTCACCAGGTTATTATCCTTGATGGCTTCTGGACGCCTGTGGCGATTCACCTCTGCTTATCAAAAGGCACTCCCCTGTCACCCTCCCTGCCCCAGACTTCACCTTCTCTGGCGATGATTGAGGAGGTGGTGGAGACCACTAGCGTGGAGCTTCAAAGTGAATTTCAAGCTTGAACACCAGAGTCAGAGCCCTCGCCCCGCGGCAGGGTTGGGCGCCGCAGGGTCAGGAGTGCTCTGGGGCCCCACTTGGAAACTCCGAATCTCCCAGTGGAAGGGTTACGACCAGACAAAGCCTTCGTGACTGCTAAGTCCCCTGTTCCAGGGGAGGCGCCGCCCCTCGTCCGGAGGCTGGAGCAGAGATGCCAGCCTTTTCTCGCCGCTTCAAGGTTATCAGAGCGTCCTTCCTTGTGGCTCCTAGTCCCCCAATCTGCTGCTCTCAGGCAGAACTTTTCCCGTTGTGAGAAGGCGGTTAGGCCCCAGGCCCACTGTCTGCCTCTCGGGAGATCCGGAGAGAGACGTCTGCCGCAGAGTACCTAGGCAATCACCAGCAGCCAAACCCGATCCTCTCCGCACCGCTTTGCGAGCTGGGAGAAGTGCGTCCCTTCTCGCTTGCCTTATGCCTAGCGAAAGGGGAACCGCACTATCGTGCTGCCTGCCAGAGGAGGGGACGCTCACGTGCGTCCCTCTGCATAGCAGCAGGCAGCAGCAGTTCCCGGCAAACAAACGCGAAGACTACCACGGTCAGTATTCTATTGCCCTGGAAGTCCGCACAGGAGGCAGGAACGACTATCCGCGCGAACTATGCAACGGACATTCTCCTTCCTCCCCCTTAGTTCGCCCGAACCGCCCGGCTGCAGCGCCCTCCAGCCTCCGCCTAGCTTCTCCAGCCTTTGACCGTTCGGCCGGAGCACCTCCGGAACGCGAGGGGCGGGGCAGGGCGCGCGCGAGCTTGGATGCCGGAAGGGAGCGCGTGAGCGGAGCCGAGCCGAGCCGAGCGGAGCCGAGCGGAGCCGAGCGGAGCCGAGCCGAGCCGAGCGGAGCCGAGCGGAGCCGAGCGGAGCCGAGCCGAGCCGAGCCGAGCCGAGCCGAGCCGAGCCGAGCCGAGCCGAGCCGAGCCGAGCCGAGCCGAGCCGAGCCGGGGGGCGCCGCCGAGAGGCAGACAGAGCTGGGTCGACCGCCTGCGGTTCAGCGCCGATCGTGCCGTGTAGTCGGTCTCCGCGTACCTCCACCTCTGCCCAAGCTCCCGCAAAACTTTTATTCTCTGGGGTCCCCCGGGTGTGTGAAGGACTCGGAGCCCTCCGTCAGCTCAGCGCTCCCCTACAGCGGCGGCCGAGGGGACTTGCATCCCTTGCCCGCCGGCTCTCGCGCCCCGCGTTTCCTCACCTGCTGCTCTCTCCCCGGAGCCGCAAGGGGCACCCCCGGAGGGACCGTGCAGGAGCCGGCGCCCCGAAGTCTCTCGCCTACCGCAGCGGACCCGCCTGGCCACAACTTTAAGTTGATTCCTCTCGCCAAGCCCGGGTACCCGCGGCGGCTGCTGCTACTGGGCGCTGTCGTGTCGGCCGCCGCCGCCTCACAAAGGGGTACAGGGAAGGGAGGCGGCGCAGGCAGCGGGCACCGGCGCCCGTGCGCAGGGAGCGAGCTTAGGAGCAGCGGAGGCGAGGAGACAAAAGGAAAACTGCCTGGGCTCGCAGTGCCCGCTCGGAGCAGCCTGCTCGCCCGCCTCTTGTTCAGTTCCGCACGCCTGTCCCTCCACCCTTGGCTGCTGCTCCGCCTCCCTCCCCGCGAGCGGTCCCCGCAGTGTTCCGGGACCCGGCGAGCCTTCGGGGCGCGCATTGCTACTGGTGGTTGGGGCTCTAGCGATAATAAATGATAGAGGATACAATGACTTTGCTGTCTTTGCTGGGTCGCATCATGCGCTACTTCTTGCTGAGACCCGAGACGCTGTTCCTGCTGTGCATCAGCTTGGCGCTGTGGAGTTACTTCTTCCACACGGACGAGGTGAAGACCATCGTGAAGTCCAGTCGGGACGCTGTGAAGATGGTGAAGGGCAAGGTGGCGGAGATCATGCAGAACGATCGGCTCGGGGGGCTCGACGTGCTCGAGGCCGAGTTTTCCAAGACCTGGGAGTTCAAGAGCCACAACGTGGCTGTGTACTCCATACAGGGCCGAAGAGACCACATGGAGGATCGCTTCGAAGTCCTCACGGACCTGGCCAACAAGACGCACCCGTCCATTTTTGGAATCTTCGACGGGCACGGGGGCGAGGTAGGACTTCCCTGGGACTTTGTTTCTCCCCTCTCTCTCTCTCTCTCTCTCTCTGTGTGTGTGTGTGTGTGTGTGTGTGTGTAAACAACAGTACGTCGTTTGCGCGGCAGGCTAGGACCTGGGTACAGGGGGCTTCGTGGTGACCTGGTGCTACGCTGGATAAAGTCATTCGTTCCATATGTGGCTCAAGTTGCCCAAAACACTGCTGTGTCCACATTTCTCAGGCTGAAGGTCCGATTTGGGGGACGGAGAGTCATCCACAGCCTGTTTCGTGCCTCTTAATTTATGAGATTCCCAAGGCTGGAACCCAGCAAATGACTGTTAGTTTTGTGGGAATGAACTGCGAGAATTAATGGTATCTCCAGTGAACTTTGGCCTCGGGCTTCAGTGCCCCTGTTCAAGGATTTGAGGTCGAGCTCGGCACAAAGAAGGAAGAAAATATCGTTGATGTTCCATTGGGGAAAAGAGAATAATTTTGCAGAGCAGTGTGGGACTCAGTGAGAGTGAAGGAAGCTGTGACTCTTTCCCATCGCCTTCTCTTTGGGGAGAAACCTGAGGGCCAGCACTGCGCTTTTTCCCAACTCCATCAACTGTGTGTAAGTGCAGTCGGGCCAGTTGACGGGAGCGCCTTGCTGCCCGCCTTGTTTTAGCTGAATCGCGGTGCGGGACCGAGGTGCTCCCGGCCTTTGCAGAGGAGGCAGTGCCCGGACCTCACCCCTGAGCCCTGGCCGCGGTGGGAGCTCAGACGTCTCCCGGCTTCTAGACTCCTTTGGGGTTCATCTGCGAGCAGGAGAGAGGGCCAGTTCAGTTCCCTCTTCCACGTTTCTGCGGCACCCAGGGTGCGCGCTGAGGCTCAAGTTTCCTGGAGGATCGGGCGAGGGTTGGCTCCAGTCTGAGGGCATTTGCCCAGGCCGAAGAGTGCACCAAAGAGCACCAAGCAACCCTATCTTTCTTAATTTGGCAGTTTGTAACAGGGTTTCATTGCTGCATACTTTTTTTAGGAGGGGGAGCGTACTTTCTTACCTTATCTCACCCCAACCCCCACCCCAGCCCATTCCTTGCCCCCTCTTGTCCCTGTACAATTTCCCTTTCCCAATTTTCTGGACCCTTTCCCGTCTCTGAGTGGACTGTAGGGGTTGTCATTCTCTTTCAAGTGTTTGCTTGTTTTTTGGCTTTTGTTTTGGGTGAACATTGTGGAAGTTCTCAGGTGGTTATCTCATCGACATTCTCTTTTTGATGTAAAGGCACTCCACCCGATACTCTGCTAGTCTTCCCAAAAAATTTATTGCCTTGTAAAACCAACTTTGCCAGGAATGACAGAGTAGGAAAACTTATTTGGGAGAACTAAAATCAGTTTCTGCTGTTTTCCACCCACCTAGCTCCCCTTCCCTCCCCCACTCCCTTTTTTTGTCTTTCAAAATGAAAGTTTCTCATTCATTTTAATTTTGTCCCATCTTATGTAGTGTAGGTTCACCTCCACATGGTCACTTGGTAGGTGAAAAACGTGAAGTTAATCGAGGAAAGAGATGCTGCAAAGGTGGGTAAAAACATACCTGAATGACAAGGTATAATGACTGATTTGTTTTTTTGGCTTGAGTCAGAATGTTCATATTTTCAATTTATTTGCCTAGACTATTGTAAATTGTTTAATAAGGTTATGTATTTTTATATTAAATTTCTTGTCAGACGGTAATCTAGTCTTACCACACTTTTATTTTTAATTTAAAGGTGTGAATGTTATATTGATGTGAAACTTTTGAGGTTGTGGTTATCTGGGTGTGATGTATTGGCATGTTTTGAGCCTATGTGTGTAAGTGAATGGATGGTTAAGAAAAAAAAATTTTAAGTTGGTATTCTAAAACCTGAACATTGCAGACCCAAATAGGTTTCAGGTCGAAAAATTTCCAATTCTATCTTATGGTAAATACTATCCAGAAAACGGACATGAGCGATGCTTTCATTTCACTAACTATTTTAGATATACATGGCTTTTCATTACATTTTTTAAAATAAAGGAAGTGATGATCATTGTTAGCCAAACCAGGAAATGCTTTTTATTGTGCCTTATATTAAAAAGCCTGCTGTTTGAAAAATAATTAATATTATCAGTACCCTTAAAAATGGAATAATTGTTCTCTCTGTAACCTCTTAAAAGGTGCAGCCAGTTCATTGATTTTGGCTTTGTGTTAGGGCAAAGTAACGGAAGTGCTATAAAAACTATTTAGTTGCTATTTGGAGTGCAGTAATAACGAATGATATTAGGTAGTTTCTCTCTTATTTATATAGATCATTAAAAGAAAATTTTACCACATAATTTTTGGCTATTTTTTTGTTGTTTAGCTTCTTTAACATTCTCCAGATGAGGGTGCAACTGTTTGATTTTGGTATAGATGACAGTTAGCTACTTACAGAAAAAAGGGAGCCTTTTCTGAACTTTCTGTTATTTGTATATGTACTGTTTGTAGAGTGGTACAGAAGATAAATGAAGAATTTGATTTTATTTCTGATTATTCAGACTTAAGAAGATAGGCTATAAAAAAACAGGGACCATCTATAATCATAGGGCTTTTTAGATCCAGAAGGGACATGAGTGACATTGTACATTGATTTCATTCTATTTTTATGTATAATCATAGGGCTTTTTAGATCCAGAAGGGACCTGAGCAACCTTGTACATTGATTTCATTCTGTTTTTTTCTTTTTTTATTGTACTTTAGATGAAGGTTTACAGAACAAACTAGTTTCTCATTCAACAGTTAGTACACATATTGTTTTATAACATTGATTAACAATCCCACGGCATGTCAACACTCTCCCTTCTCGACCTTCGGTTTCCTATTACCAGCTTTCCTGTCCCCTCCTGACTTGTAGTCCTTGTCCCTGGGCTGTTGTACCCCTTTAGTCTCATTTTGTTTTATGAGTCTGTCTAATCTTTGGCTGAAGGGTGACCTCAGGAGTGACTTCACTGAGCTAAAAGGGTGTCGGGGGGCCATACTCTCGCGGTTTCTCTAGTCTCTGTCAGGCCAGTAAGTCTGGTCTTTTTTTGTAAGTTAGAATTTTGTTTTGTGTTTTTCTCCAGTTCTGTTAGGGTCCCTCTATTGTGATCCCTGTCCTGTCAGAGCAGTCAGTGGTGGTAGCCAGGTACCATCTACTTGTACTGGACTCAGTCTGGTGGAGGCTGTGGCAGATGTGGTCTCATTCTGTTTTTTTTAGATGAGATGCTGATGGTTTAGATGGTATAGAGAAGTTGTGACCTTCTTAAGACTACCTGGCTAGTTTGAGGCCTTGGTTTGGTGACTTTTATAGTAAAACCTTGGACAAATTAGCTTGCATACTTATCTTGATAGATAGCACTCTGGGTGAATGACACATGACCCCTATTCTCAAAAAGTTTCAGTCTTGTGAGAGAGATAGACCTGTATACCAAAAATTAAGTCATGGTGTGTTTGGGGTATTATGGGAACACAGTGGAGGCACATTTCAGTCAGACTGGGAGGTGAGAGGCCCAGGGGAAGAACCCTTGACAGCATCATTTACTCCATGATTAGAAGCATAGGCTTTGGCTTGAGATCTGGGTTTGAATCTCTGCCTTATACTAGCTGTGTGACCTTGGGCAAATTGCTTAAGCATCTTTTTTCTGGGAGTTTCTTTATCTGAAAAATAGGGATAATGATGCACATATGGTACATCCTCATTGGTTGTATTATCCTTATCTAGAGAAGGACTTAATGGAGAAAAAATGAAGAAAGCTCAGAAAGCTAAAAGTCTGAAATGTTGGGACAACAAAGTCCAAGAGAGAGACTCTACATATGGACATCACAACTGAGGGAGCCTGGAGGAATCTTGAAAAGTTTTGAGCAGGAACAGACGTTTGATTGTATCCTAGCATTTCAGTAGACAGAGATTGGGTCAAGGAAGGAGGAGAAGATGACATTACAGATGGGAGAAAAAGGGAACATTTTATAGAGGAAAGAAAATGCAAGTACAGTTGGAAAAGGCAGGTAGCCACATTTGTTTAGAGCAGGCTTTCCCCAACTTCAGTCTTTTTTTCCATATTTGAGTATCTTCTCTATTTTGATATACTTAATATTATTTTTTGGATAAACTTTTTTTCACTTAAATGTACAGTGAAACCTATGAGAGCCAGAACTTGACAGGACTGCCTTGTTTTTCTGGGTCTCTCAAGTTTTCCACCTTTGACAGGGTGTAGTGTTACAACATTTCTGTTGCTGGTTTTAGTGGAAAATATTTTTAGTTTTCCTTCTCTGACAGGTTTCCACCTTACACAGGTTCAGGTTTTGCAGGTTTTTACTGTATTTATTTTAAAAGGAAACTTCATAACAGCACTGTGAGTGGAAAATCAATAAAATGAAATTCTTGGCCTCTAGCCTACTAAGAAGCTGTCTCCATTTTGATGGAGCCAGATGATTCTAAAATATTCCTCTTCTAGTCTCTGGTTGCCTCTAGAGTCTCTCTGCTTCCTCCCTTTGCTTCTTATGAACAGAAGGGTGGCTTTTAAAATTTAATTGCCAGCCATAATTTGAAGTGATGCAGCTGTTTGCTCCCTTGCAGGTTGAGGAACCCTAGTTTGGAACATCTCTTTCCACTGTGGCTCTTGTGACAGACAACGATCTTATATATCATACATCTCCATGGTGAACCCAGTGTTGTGGGCACTTACTAGTGTTTGAGCAGCAATTCCGTTCTCATTTCTAATGCAGGTGAGAAAACATCATAGGAATGAACTTGCATCCTTTTTAGTTTATTTTTTAAAATAAATAATTTGCAAGTTTTGGTGATTGAGCCATTATTCATTATTGGTCACAAATTGTGACATATTTACAATGGACAAGATATATCAGTGTGCTGGGACCCACGGTTGAGAACTCACAGCCTGCAGCTTAGGGAATACACAGGTGAGGAGAGTGGGAAATGCTGCTGAAACTGTTGTCAGCACTAAGTTTGAAAGCCATACTGAGGAACCTGGGCTGTGTTCTGTA